AATGCAATTGGTATTCTGATGCCCAGAGTTTTCTTTTTCTTTTTTTAGGTTTCCTTTACTGTTTTGTCAATGGGAAAACCAGATTATACGGACATTTTTAAATTCAAAATCAAATTGAGTTGATTTAAAGGGCTACAAATTATACCTATACTGGATGAAATAGTGGCAAGCACTGCTTGTCTTTTATGTAAACCATATCAACCCCATAAATGGAGCAAGGAGAACCTCACATGTACAACTGGTCCTACCACTTGTTTAATTACAGTAGTGGCCAAAATTGTGGAAACCTTTTGGGAAAAGTGTACAGTAGAAATGCCACTTTTGATTAAGTTTCCACCAATTTTTCTTCTAATTTCTTTATAATTGTAGCCTTGTTCACTTAATAATAATATTTTACATCGGTTTCTGGGCAACCAGTCAACTCTTTGCACCATTACTTTAATTTTATTACATTTTACAAGCTCACTAAATGAAAGAACACAAAAAACTAACTCCATAGCGATCACATAACACACTGACAAATGTCCTCCTCTCAGCTTCAATACATGACATCAATAACTGAATCCTACTGTGATCTGATTGGCTCATTGCCAAAACAAGATGACACCTGATTGGCTCTCTAAACACTCATGCTCATTGGTTACAATCAGATAAAGGAAAGCTACTTGATATCAACCTAAGCAAGTTGTGTTTCCTTTTTCTGGTTAGTTGGCTATAACTTTTCATAGAATACAGTACAGATAATTGAACAAACTTTGTTGCATTACATTCTTGATTAAATTATCTTTCCATTGATATATAATGTTATGGTACTACTCCAAAAAAAGTGGTGTTATTAGCCATCAAACCTCAAAAATACACTTTTCCCAAAAGGTTTCCACAATTTTGGCCACTACTGTATGTTTGAAGTTATAATGGCACTGAGCCAGGAGTTCATCCTTGAAACTGCAGCTGAGCCAGGAGTTCATCCTTGAAATTGCAGCTGTCGCACCATCCCACAATCATGTGATCATGATTTGGGTACTTGGCAAGCAGCATGCAAATACATTGATCACAGAGGTCTATGGAGTTCTCAGTCATCCAGGTTGAAGATGCTTTTTCACAAGGCAACTGGACTTCCTTTTTTCTCTTTGAATATGTTTTGCTTGTCATCCAAGAAGCTTCTTCAGCTCTCACTGGATGATGGGAAATTTGTTGTCAGGGTCACCTGAGTAGTGCAAATGGGTGTGGAGCCTTCTTGCAATGGTTGAAAGGACTATGAGGACTCAGATAAACCTCCAGGTGGCTTCAGCGACTCTCTAAAAGAATGCAAATGACCAGCTATCCGCAAGGAGTATAAACCCTTCCATTCCGCACCATCCAGTCCAAGCTGAAGAAGCTTCTTGGATGAAAAGTGAAATGTCATCAAAGGAAAACAGAAAGTCCAGTTGCCTCATGAAAAAGCATCTTTGAGACATTGGTCACAAAGTTCCACAGTTGCACAATTGGCATTAGCAACCTTGACTATGGGCTTCTGACAAATAAAGCCAATGAGAAAATCACAAGCTGAAGTTACTCAATATCACATTTAATGACTACACAAAATGCATTTAACAATTACTATCAGAATTGCCATCATAAGTCAGCATGGTCACATGATTTTATGCTTTAAAACTTGTTACTTAGTGATGGAGTTCCAATTTCCATAGAGGATTAACTATACTACACAATTTGCATTCTCTTAGTCACAATAAGCTCCAGTACTACAGGGATGCATTTGAAATAGAGAATATATGCAAAACTGTTTACTAACTTTCTTTTTTTGTAAGAATGAGATTCATCACGTTAGGAAAGATGAAGGTCTGACCTGATATTTCAACTATGCATGTTTCCTCTAAACATTTTTTTTTCTTTTTGCCCATTGTTTTCCACTTTATCATCAAGTAAAAATGTTTCATACAAGTGGTTTTAGTTAAAAGCAGATCCTCCAGAGACCTGTGATTGTCCTTTTAGCAAACACACACTTTCAATGTCAGTGTTTCGTTATAAAATGTAGCTGTGCTCTATGTTGCATGCCTTGTCAGCTACGCTAGAAAAAGAAAATCTTCAAGAAGAAAAGACATGCATTTTCTTTTTTTTTTTTTTTTTTAAAAATAGATCATCTGTTTCAGGTAATTGTATCTAGGATGTTGGAACAATATGCATGGTTATACTGTATTTCTAAAACAAATAAATAAAATAAAGCTTTCTCATTTGCTTACACATGTTCAGTTGCTCTCTCTCACACACTAGCACCAATGGAGTTTCACAGCCTTTTTACACTCCTATTGGAGGACACAAATTTTGGAAAGCAACAGTGAAGTAAATGTCTAAACCTCTCTTGCCCATTCATTTTGAATTAGATTGGGGTCTTACATGCAACAACAGCCATAAACAAACAGCAAAGAGATTAAATGCAAATTTGGCTTGGTTTTATATAGAGTAGATCTATGAAATAACTTAATGAACATAGCATGACTGAAATACCTAAGATTGAAATACCTAAGACGGAAATTAACTGAAGACTAATTTCAACAATTATTAAATTAATTTATTGGACTTTGCAGCAGTAACTCCAAAAAGACTCTTGGTGGTCTTACACTATTTAAAGAACATAATTTAAAAATCATGATCATCTGGATAGAGCCAAATAAACAAAACACACAAAAATGTGATAGGCTCCACAAGTACTCTAACCCCAGACCTGGAAACACAGCGAGGTATGAGATTTCCAAAACATTCCAAGAATAGTAATCATAACCTCTGTTTCAAAGATCATGGGCCGGTGAGAGAGAATGTACTAAATCTGGGGTTAGCTCTGAGTTTTCTGGAAAACCTAAGCATTGTCAAAGACAGTGATTGATACTAAGGGTCTCTACCAACTAAAAACAGAAGAAATTAATTAAGAAAAGTAAGAGGCAAAATCTGTCCTTGACACATTCAACTCTATCTCAAAACACACCAGCCAAGGTTATTTGAAAGTGGAAGCATTATCTAGGAAGGTGATGGTCCCTTTCATGTTTAAATAGAGTCAGAATAGTTGTCATGGATCCTGTAATTTGAATTACAGAATTAAGCAAGGATTGGACTCAATGGCCTAACATATCTCTTTCAATTTCTAAAGACATTCCATAATTCTTTCCATTTAAAAACTGTCCACTTCTGCCACTCTGGGAATTAATTATAGTTCTTCAGAGGAAGAAACATGACTCAGAACGTGTTGGATTTGCATGTAGGATCTGTTGGAAACTCCTTAAATTAAATACATCTGTTCCTAGGATTGTATGGCAGATACAAAAGGCAGCTGCACAACCCCAAGAAAAAACACAACTACTTGAAAGTGTTTACAACAGATGCTATAGGCACACCTATGTTTTTTTTCAAAACCACATCTCTTCCTTAAGTATGCCACAGCCCTACAAATATATTTCATCAATGACATATCTTCCATAATACATTCAACAAGGGCAATTTCTTCTCTAAATACTATATGACAATTATACCCTACCCATCCTTTGATGATCTCCAAAGGGTGGGTATAGTAGTTTGTTGTTGTTGTTTTTATCTTTGGTTCTCCTTGGATTGTTAAAGAAACTAAAAGTATGTCTTTAATGGAATCTACTAACTTTGCTTTGTGTCATTAGACATGAAGGATGTCATTATCAGAATACCAGTTGGGTCTCATAGCAGTCTTTGGCCAATTATTAATAGTTTGGGGGGGGGGGAATTATGCTTTCCAGTTCTAGGAGTTAGTTTTTAAAAGACCATTTTCTGGCTGTTGGCCACAGAATCTGGGCATAAGTTCTCATTGGCTCTCTGCAACTTTTGTTTCTGGAGCCCAAGAAAGGGAAAGAAAAGAACACTAGGGAAAGGTGGCTCTGTACTGAATTGTGTAAAGCAGTGTTTCTCAACCTTGACAATTTTAAGGCACGTGGACTTCAACTCCCAGAATTCCACAGCCAGCATTGCTGGCTGTGGAATTCTGGGAGTTGAAGTCTACATGCCTTAAAATTGTCAAGATTGAGAAACACTGGTGTAAAGCCATAAATGTCTGAAGGAATTGAGAGAAGAGCTTTTTCAGAATATTAAGGCCGGCTGAGCCCTTTCAAACTGCAAATCTGAATTACTTATTATAGCTTTCCAAGCTAGGAAATCTTTACCCATTCAGAAGTTTTAATTTATGTGTAATTTTATGGTGGTTAAATAGTCGATACATTTTTTTTGTCTTATGGAAAAGGCAGAGACTGATAACAAAGTATCTACCTCAAGTGTCATTTTCCAGATGATAAGCACTGCATGAGAATGAAAAGAAAAATGCAATTGTTAATATTATAGTAACTTTGAAAAAAAAGATCTTGTGAATAGAATTGTATGTCCAAATTTAATGAGAGCCCATCAGAAGTTTCCATGTGATAGCTGATACTATCATGTCATTACTTGAAAGAGTTGGAGTGAACATAGTCTTATTATCACAATCATCTCTATAACCTAAGAATGGCTAAGTGAGATTATCACTATAGCAATTATTTTTATATAAAATCATTGAGCCTAGCCAGATTTACTATTCTCTCACACAACAGATAAATGCAACATGCCACTCCCAAGCTACATGCAATCAATCCATATGATAAGAGAAAAGGGCACGAGAGAAAAGAGATTGTAGAAGAGATTTTAAAAAAATAAGGTTTAATTGCTTTCCAAGGACAGAGTATATCAATCCTTTCATTTTTTCTTCTTCTTTTAATTTGCTGTTTTTACATTTGTACACTAGTCCATCTTTGCTTAATGAAGATCTGTTTCTTGTTACGGTAGTGGAGAGCACATGAAGATGTGTGTTCCGCTTCCTCAAAGTCTCAGCATTTCCCATAAACATCTACTTTGCTTGGTTAGTTAGGATCCTCCTTGGGAATAGGAATTCCTTTCAGATACATTTCTTCTCTTGTCCCAATTCTCTTCCCTATGACCCATCCTGTCACCATTAGATGATGCAACACCGCATCACCACTTGACTTCGAGACCTGCCACGACGACCAAAATTGGTGAGCTCCCCCTCCTCTTCTGATCTACTTTAATCACAGGGAATCAGTAATGGGGTTTAGATTCTACTTTATGACACAGTAGAATTTGGCATTTATCAGGATAGAACAGAGAAAGAAAGTGGTAAGTGTGCAAGGGAGGAGGGGAGGGAATGGACATGTGTGTGTAAATGTTGGGAGAAGTAGACTGAATGAAATAATATTAATTCCACTTTATTTTCTGAAATGTGGCTTGTATGGTTCTTTATTCAATGGACATTTACATGAAATACACTCCAAAACATATGAATGAAGATTAAATCCAGGTGAGCTTACATATTGCATTTATCACATGAAATTTATAGCTGTCATTTGGAAAGCTAAATGCAAATAAATCATATATACAAGGAATTCTTTAAAATTTCTTTTAATTTTCCTGAAATGATGAGGGAAGAACAAGATACAGGGAAAAGTTTTGTCAAAGTTTGAATTGTCTTTTTGAATTAATGGGATGAATATGTCCTCGATTTGTATGTAGAATGAAGAATTGGCAATTGTTTGTGGGGTTCATTATGACTAGAACTGAATTCTTTCTGCTTTCCTTTAAGGAATTGGGAAATTCATTTCTGAAATCTCAAGATTCACTTTGCTGATTTCTGTACAATCTAGTCTAGTTGTTAACAGTCCTAGGTCAAATTTGGGTTTCTGACTCAATATTAATACTGGTGAAGAAAAAGCAATCTTTAGAAAAAATGGTGGATGGATACTATAGAACCTGCTGGTGGTTCATTTTGAGATACTAGCAGAGTTCAGGTTCACCACTATATTCTCTCTTTTCAAAATGTCCATCCAATAAAATTGCTTGCTAGTCAAAGCATAGGCTACTTTTCAAAGATAAACCTGTGTTTAGGAACTGATACTTTAAAAAGAAGGCTGTACGAACCCTTCTTATTTGGATTTAGTTTTCTGCAGTGAAGGGGTACTGGGTCTGATTTCCATAACTTCAGTGTGAGGTTGCATAGAGTTTTACTGTGAAAGTGAAGTACTCAAGGAATGGAATTATTTGTTTACACTAAGATATATCTTTTTCTTCTACAGAAATGATAATCCTATATTGTCTTAAAGTTGAACTCGATTTAAATGCAGATTATATCCTAATTCAGAAATAGTTATTTTATGTTTTAAGGAGTCATGAAGCATACATTTATCCATCTTTTAATGCTATATCTTTTTTCAAGTCATAGGACAGGACTAAATCTCTGTTCAGTCCATGCAAGGACCCAATTTTCTTAAATTCCATAATATGCAAAAATCGGAGTTGTTTCATTGAACTGAACTCTCCCAGATTCTCAGTAAAAAAAAACCTGCAGAATGTTTTATCTTAAAATTGGTTTGAGTTCATCACTTGGGTGATATTTGGAATCTTGGCTTCTGCTAAATATGTTTACATTTATGGGAATACAGTAAGGCCAAGACAATCTGGGTTTGTTATTTGTTTGATCTGGTTTATCCTAATTTGTAACACAAGAAGACCAATTTTTTGTAGTATTCCAGTCACTCAGCCATCACAATTGCCATCACCACCAATGTCAGAAAACTTGCTCTGATCTTCCACTCATTCGACCAGGACATAACATAAAACATTTTGGTTTTTAAAAACGGGGAAGAATATTCCTGGCAATAACATTGTTCACTCCCCCCCCCATTCACTTAGGACGACAGTTAACGATCTTCAACACCCAGGCTCAAATAGCCATTGGAGGAAAAGATAGAGGGCGTCTCTTCCAAGGTCAGCTTTCCGGTCTCTATTACAATGGCTTGAAAGTATTGAATATGGCAGCAGAAAACAACCCCAACATCAAAATCAATGGAAGCGTTCGGCTGGTTGGTGAAGTGCCATCTATTCTGGGGACAGCTCCCACAACCTCTATGCCACCAGAGATGTCCACCACCGTCATGGAAACTACCACTACTATGGCCACTACTACAACACGAAAAAATCGCTCCACACCTACCATTCAGGTAAGTTGAATGTTTTATGTTCCTGTGTTTTCAAGCTTAATTTTTTTTTCAGATGTACGTTTTCCCAAAATAAAATTTTGGGAAAAAAAAAACAAAAAAACAAAAAAAAACCAAAAATTGACATTTGCCAAATTTTTAGATTGCTATTTACTATGCATATGTCATCCTTCAGTGATGCTATTTTAAACCCTCTTTATTTTACACATGAGCATGAAGAATAGGATTTGATTTTTTAAAAAATTTGGTGAGTGAATCATGTGAATTCTGACTATCCAGTAATAATGCTACCATGTAAGCCAACTGGATTTTCTGAATGCTTTTATTCCCACATCTGTTTGCAGGCTTCATATCAATTGAAGAATTATAATCTTAAATGCTGCAAGAAGAAGTACAACCATTCAAACAGCAATTTAAATATCCATATGGATATCCTTCCTATTAACTGGAACTATCTCCATCCAGCTCAGTTTTATTTTAAATGTGTCAAGTTCTTCTAAACCTTAATAACAGTTAAAGTTGTTTAGTTCCTAAAGTTATTTTAGGAAACTTACAGGTTTCTTTCAATTCTTAGAGACAAAGTCAGGTGTCATTAGCGTAATTTGTCCAATGGTATAATGCATAACATTCTTCTGGTGATATTATGTGGAAGTAAAAAGGCTGATGGATTGAATAAATCTCTTATGTTGTTTAATTCTTGGCTGTAGAAATTGATCAACATAACCTAGAACATTTTAGGCTACAAGTCAGATTAAAATGATTCCATAAAATCTTTTTCATCTAAGAAAACCACCATTTTGGCAATGCTTTATTCCCCCCAAATTAACTGAAACTGATAATAATCCCTACTGAGTCCAACAAGAGCTTCAGGACAAGAAGACTTAAAAGTATTCCTATATATATAGAACAATGCTAAAAATAAAGGAATGATTCTTGGGTATATTCATATTAAATAATAAAAACGTGATCACCAGGAAAGTATAAAACAATAAAAGTTTTAATAAAAAGAGACCAAGCTCCTGATTTACAGGCACAGAGAAATGGGGGAGTAAGTGTTAATGCACATGTGGATAAGGGCAGCAAGGATAAACTACCTAGTTTGAAAGGGATTACGACAGGGACAATGATTGGCCGGCCAGGACGCTGGCTTCTTTATAAATGGTTTCTCCCATTGACCTGTATATACCCTGATGATGTTGGCAGGAGCCAACGAAAGCTCGGTCTCTTTTTATTAAAACTTTTATTGTTTTATACTTTCCTGGTGATCACGTATATATATATATATATATATATATATATATATATATATATATATATCTTTGGTTATTCGGGTTTTCTCCCACGTAAAATTGGAAGTGTCTTGGCGACGTTTCGACGAAGTCTCATTCGTCATCTTCAGGCTGGTGTTTTCGGCTTCATGCTTCTAGGAGCAATGTGTGATCATAGCTGTTTCTTCCTTTTAACTGCCAGTGGGGGTATGAACTGATTGGATGAGAGCTTGGCTGTGTTCTGATTGGATGGAGGTGTATTCTGATTGGTTAGGAGCTTGGCTGTGCTCTGATTGGATGGGGGGTTGGCTGCGCTCTGATTGGTTGGGGGAGTGTTCTGTTTGGGTGGGGGCTTTGTTGTGCTCAGGTTAGTCTGAATTGCGGGGGGATGTGAAATGGTGAGCTGCATTGCTATTGTTTGGCTTCGCGTTCAATGATATGTGTTCAATGATACAATCTTTGATTTTCGGGAGAGGTATAAAAACAACTATTTACAATGTTAAAAGAAACAACTTAGCTTTCACTGGTCCCCTGCCAGCGTCCTCAAAATGAGGCTCAGGTGGTGGGAAGATTCTTTTTATACACCTTGCTGGTCTAACTGCTTACTCATTGCCCATGTGATAGGGCCATCCTTCCTGGTTAACTGTAATTGCCTTGATTGCCCCGCCTTCTCTTTTTTGCACTCCAATTCCACACTTTCCCCCTCTCTCATCCTTGTCAATCTCGTCCCTCCCAGCACCATTGCTGCCGGTGTGCTCTCTAACCGCTCCCTCCTACTCATTTCAGGCTGCGCATTAGACCCAGTGTTCCAAAAGGCTTGCCATCAGGGCTCCCTTCCTTTCTGGCCCGTTGGTCTGCACACTGTTCCTGCCTGCCATCATCGATTCCTGTCAGTCTTTTTTTCTCCAATTTCCCTCCACCCCAGGGTATGCGCACGCCCTATCGTGCCTCATCCTTCTGCTTCATCTGCCTACAACCAGTGGGGATGCCTATTGGCTTGCCCTTAGGCCCAGTCCTGCTCGTCCTCATTAGCCTTTTCTCCCCCAATTTCCTTTCACACCTGGCTGTGCGTGCACACGATCGTGTCCCGTCTCTCTGCCCTGTCTGCCTGTGGTCAGTTGGACTATCTGCTGGCTCCTCTTTAAGTCCAACCTCCCCCCTTTTTTTATCCCTTTCCCCCTCCTTCCCCCTCTTGGCTAACCCTGTCTTGTTTGGTATCCCTGTCCTATGTGTTTTGGGTCGTATGGTCAGGTCTGGCATTCCCAATGCCCCCTCATTGTCACTTCTCCCCTGCGATCCTTCACCATGCTCACTTCCTCCCTCCTTTTCACCCCATCCATCCATCTGTGATTCCAATATTTCACCATCCATCCCTATCGTCCCTATTCCTTCCAAATCCTTTCTTTGCCTAGCCATGCGATGACTGCCTTCCCCAGTTCTGGTTCTGCCTCTGGTAAACGCCATCTGCATCCTGACTTGCTCCTCATGTATTTTTAATGTCTGGTATGCCGGGGGAAATTCTATGCATCAGTTGATTGAATCCATGTTGGAGAGCCAAGCCTTCTTCAGCAGGCATCCTCCTTTGGAGGCATCCTGGGCGATGGCTTCTGCTCCCTTGAAATCGAATGAGTGCCCGTTGTTAACCATATGTGTCCATATTTGAAGAATCTCCCCACCCCCTGAGCCCCACTCTGAGGGCGCTGGCAGGGGACCAGCAAAAGCTAAGTTGTTTCTTTTAACATTGTAAATAGTTGTTTGTATTGTTTTTAAATATCTTTTTAGCAATAAACAACTGGTTTATACCTCTCCCGGAGATTGAAGATTGTGTTATTGAACAAATATGCCCGGGATTCACATTTTTGCAGCTATCCAGGATACACACACACACACACACACACACACACACACCCAGCCCAATCAATAGTATGTGTTCTTGATAGAAGCATTAGGACAATGCTAACCTCTTAGCACAATTATTTTCTGAAAATGTTTTATAATGTAGTACAGGTGGCAGACCGCAAGCTCTGTGAATTCAATCAAAAACATTCTATATGTTAAATATTTATAATTAGCACAGTATACTTTTGTTAAAGTGCATATAAGATCTTCTGGAAAATAGTTATGGTCTCCTTTACATTTTTTATCTACATCAAAGTAAACCCCATAGACTCTGATTAAAATAGTAACAAGCAACAGATGTTTTATTCCATATGTTATACATTTAACTTAGCATGTTGAAATTTAGGTATTTTTAACATGTAGAGAATTACTTTATGAATATCCCAAAGGTGCTTTGAACTTTTTTATTTCTCTTGAAAATGGTTCAGAATTGAAGAAGCTTCTTAGATGAGAAGCTAAACATTTTTCAAGGAAAAAAGCAAGAAAGTCCAATTGCCATTGAATAGTACCTTTGGGACAACTATACCTGGATCATTGAGCATCTTCATATATATTTTATGAATAGAATGTATTAAGCAATCTAATTATTTAGTAACTGATTAAGCAATGTAATCATTTACAAAGTATGTTTGCAAAGGTTTGTTTTCCCTTTTATTTATGCTTCTCCACAATTCTTGAATAATATAAATTGATCTTTATATGATAGTTGTCATCTTAAACAAAAAATTAAACGCTCTTATCTTCAGTGAGACAAGAATTATTTTGAGAAACCTATGTCTCTTAAAATCGCTACCCAGTATCCATAAAATGCTTACAATCAGTGTTCTTTAGTTCCTTGTCACAATTCTGGTTCTTTTGCATCAGTGGCACCAGGAACCCAAAATCTCTCTGTGGGGAGAGATTTTTCTGCAGGCTTGAGGGCGTAGTTTCACTTGCTGTCTGCATCTCATGGAGGGGGCTTCACTTGTTTGCACAGCCCGGTTTCTGGCATGCTGCAGACCAGGACCTGTCTATGGACCAGGGGTTGGGGACCCCTGTTTTACATCACAAAGCACATGTAGCACTGATTTAAATTGTTAACTGCAAAAGATGGGTGAAAAAAGTACTAGAATGATTTAATAAAGTGCACATCAGTATTTAGAAACAATGATTTCCTGGATCCACCCACACTGCAACTAATGGACTTGCCTTAGCTGATATTAAAGCAGTAACTCTTGGCATTTCATTATTCTTACCAGAAGGAAGGTAAAAGTCAATATGTGCTTCTGTTACTGTCTCTCAAGAGCAAATCAATTTATTACCATCCTGGTGAAATATAATTCTTTCTGTCATTCACTTGGTAAATATGTTCAGTTCCATCTGAATAAGCTACATTAAACACAGGTGATGCTTTCTGCTAAAGATCTCATGGGAGTGTGCATAGGCCTATCTCTTATGGGGTGCTTTATATAAAGCAACCATGTCCACTACAAAGAAGTCCTTTCTGCTTTTTCAGAATTATTAATTTATTTTATCTATTTCATTATATTTTAATGATCATAGACTTTTCAGCCAAATGCATACAGATGCTTCCCTGGGATTAGGAACTCTGATTGGGGCATTATTTAGTTAAGTGAATTTAACACTACTGATAAACAGCTATAGCAGTGGGGGCGAACCTATGGCACGGGTGCCAGAGGCGGCACTCAGAGCCCTCTCTGTGGGCATGCGCACTGTCGCCCCAGTCCTAGGCCTTCAGCTGGGTTTTATAAAAACTTTTTGCTTTAGGCCTCTGCCACCGTGTGCAAAAAAAAAAAAGGTTCAATAAATCAATTTCAACTTCTCGCGGGGGAAAAA